ATATTATAAATATCATATAAGGTACCATGTGGTGGCACATAAACAATAGAGGGAAGGAAGGGATTGACATTTAGAAGGACATGCACTGTGCTTCCATGCTACCTATACAGTTCTATTTCTTCATCTAAGTGGGATTCTTTCGATAATACGATAAGTTGCTGCATGGTTATATTTTATATACTTTGTTGTATTTCACTATGACACCAAAATACATAAAAATACGGACTGGACTCTGGATTTCATAGGATGCAAAAAAAACTGTACATAAAAAAATAAATGATGCATTCCAGAAAATAAAAGAAAGAAAACTGTGTAATACTAGGTTACATATATATCTGTATGGTCTTTGTATCACATTATACACAAGGATTTCAGTAAAAATAGAGAGATCTTCCAGTAAAAATATATTGGTTTTTGTCAAGCAAAGGAAGCTAATATAGTGGAATACAGTATCAAGAATAAAACATATGTTGAGAGATTTGGACGACATGTTAAAAACAAACATAAAGTATCTTAAGAGGAAAATGTAATCTCATTTTTGGGGGAGTACTGGGGATCAAACTCAGGACCTTGTGCTTGCCAGGCAGGTGAGTCACCACTGAGCTAAATCCCTGGCCCTTGTAATCTCATTTGTATAAAAATGTTGAACTACATGTAGACATTTAACTTAACAATGAATAAACAGAAGTTGAAATGTTTTTACTTAAACCTCAATACAAATGAGCAACATAATGTAGCAAATGTAAAGGCTAATGTAATATTCAGTAATACTGTATTAATGAAAATAGAATGTGAGATCAGGATAGAAGGAGTTATTCCTCCACTGTTTTCCGTGCTGTACAGGTGTTAATATTATCACTTTGCCAGTTTTAAATATAATTTAAAATAACCAATTTGACATGGAGTGCATTGATTATACTGAATTAATTAATTGAATACACATCAATAGAGTGACCACCATAGTTTCAATATCATGCTAGATTCTTACAGAATTTGGAATTGCAAAATGAAAATGGCAGTATCTCTTACAGATTTAGTTTCTATATGTAAGTAGCATGGGAGTTATCACTCCATTGATACAGAAAAACAAGCTCGGAAAAACAGAAAACTGAAGTTTTTCTTGAGCACTAAGGATTCAAGGTAAAATCTGGTGAGCAGGCAAATTAATAAGGACACAGCCAGAATCACTTACTTGGAACATGAGTCACTGAAGCTATAGTCACATGACAAGTCATCAGAATTAGATTCAAATATGGCACAGATATTAGAATTATTAGATAAGGAATTTAAAATAACTATGTTTACTATATTAACCACTCCAATTAAAAAGAGTAGCATAAACAACACATGAGTAATATATTTAGATAGACTGAAATCCACAAAATAAAAACAAGAAAAAATGGTAGAAAGTAAAAACATTGTAACAGAAATGAAGAATGTCTTTGATTTATCACAGCCAAGGAATGGGTCAGAGAATTTGAAAACAGATCTTTATAAACTTCACCAACTGAGATACAAAGAAAATAGAATGATTAACACCAAACAGAACCTTTACGTTTTAGAGGAATAATGTATGTAGAATTTGAATCCTAGAAGTGTAAGAAATAAAATATAGAACAGAAGAAATATTTGGAAAAATAATGACCATGGAATTCCTAAAATTAATGGCAAAAACCAAATCAAAAATGCAGGAAACACCAAGACTAAATAACAAAATCATTACTCTTAGGCATATCATAGTGAAACTATAGAAAAACATATAAAGAAAAAATCTTGAAAGAACACAGAGGAAATACATCTATGGTGGATTAGGATAGGAATCATAATCAACTTTTTGTGAAAAATGATCCAAGTAATAAAACTGGAGTGGAACAATGAAAGCGATGAAAATAAAGAAATATCAATATAAGTTTCCATGTTCACAAAATTTGTTTTTTATCAGCTAAGGGCAGTTTCACAAAATCTAAATAATGTAACATTTATACTAAAGTACAACATGGTAGCGATGTAAAAAGATACAAAGGGGTGATATACTGTCATCCAAGAACTTTAAATATCCCATGGTTTCTCTTATATGAGAAACTCAATGTATAAATAAAGGGCAAAATAAAAGATACATAATAGGAAGTAGGCGGGTAGATCTTTCTGAAAGGGGAAGGAGATCAAGAGATGGAAGAGGGCGAAGAGGGGAAGACAGGGAATGAAAAAAGAATTAAGATGTGCTGTGTGCATATAACAACTATAAACAAGGAATTTAAGCATTATGTAGTACAGACACGTACTAATACAAAATAAAGAAAAAAAAGAATGGTTGTATAAATTGGCTACAAAAAAAGTAAACGTGGTATATTGTCATACCAATTGAAGCAATGTTATGCATAGTTATTTCTTCTCAATAGATTTGCTGTTGATACTTACATGCATTTATTACCTCATACTTTTAATTCTAGGGCATGCAGTGCTCCATTCACTCAACATTTCATATATACTCAAATTTTACTAGGAAGAAAAGGGGCAAAGGGGAAGGAGGTGGGAGAGGTAGGGGAAAGGAAAGAAGGGAATGGAATTAATATGAGAAAATGGAAAAATAGGACCAAAATCTTTGTAAATAGGGAGGGATGGAGGGGTTGAAGGGAGGGCTGGGCAAGGGTGAAAAATAAGTACCAAGAGAGTTTATGTAAAGGTGCAAATTTCCAACGATGAATGTCATTATATTGTATACCTAAAATGTACCAATGTTTAGAATGAATAATCGATAATGCAAAATAAGAAGAAAAGGTCCAAAGGGGTAGGGGTAGTGGGAGGGGCAGGGGAAAGGAAAGAAGGGAAAGGAAAAATGATGAGAAATGGAAAAAAATGGAAATAAAGTCTTCGTAAATAGGGAAGGGGGAAGGGGGTGAAGGGAGGGCTAGGAGTGGGGAAAAAATAAGAACCAAGATCCATCATGTAAAGGTACAAGTTTAAATGTAATTGTGTAGTATACCTAAAATGTACCAATAAAATAATTTAACAAAAAAAAATTTACATTGCAATTTATTTGCTCAAATCAGTGTTTCCAGTAGGGCTGCTTATGATAAAAACATTCCCGATAATAAGTTGAATGAAAACTTTCATTATACTTTCACTATATCAAGATTTAAATATTCTTCATGTTCACATGATGAATTGAAATACTTTTAGACAAAGTTTAGGAAAATATAACAGAAGTGAAAAGCATTTAGGAGAAAAGAGTTCTATTCTTGGTTCTATGAAAGAGACCTGTGCAAGTTGTTTTACTGTTTGGGACCCAGTGTCCTATTTCCTACTGCTTTACATAATAATGGCTTAGAATCCTAGTATTCCTAGAAAGGAGAAAGATGTGCTTATCAAGATGAATTCTACATTCTGAGGAATAAAATTTAGAAGTGTATACTATTTCTATTCAAATTTCTTTTCTATTTATAATTTTACATTTCTTTTCCTCAATACATGCTGCTTGGCAAAACTACTTGAGTATATATTGAGAACAAAAAAGATTAATAGACAATAATTTCAATATTATTTTATAGACAGACATATTTTCACTGACCCATTAAAATATTGGGAGGTAAAATGATAAAACGTTGATTTGAATTTTCTAAACAGAGAGCTCTTATGTACAGTGAAACTGAAAACTAAATGACTGCAAACTAAATATGCTTCTGAAAGGTACACAGTACATGTTAGAGAGTAAATATGTGTTTATTGTTCATGTCTATCATGTATTGCAAGCTTCAGTTGTTAACTGTACCTAATATTTATCAAAAGCATTACTGAAGAGCACCTTATTTATTTAAATAAATTTTCCCTCTACCAAGATAATTATATTCATCAAAAGAATTCTGGAAAATCAATGTAGTTTTAAGTGAACAGATATAACTTTAAAATTTAAAAGAAATCAATTATTATGAATGTTATGTAACTACCATGAGACATTTTTTTCACATAGAAGAAAAATCAGAAAAAAGTCAGTTCAAGTCAATGAACAAATAAACACCTTTTTAATGTGCTTCAAATACTTAATGTTCTTTTTATACTTTTCTATACATTTTTCACAAATATGACCATACAAGAAAAGTCTTCAAGAATCTCACTTAATAAGGATATGCCAATAACTTCTTTTAATGTTCTAATGTTGCTCTTATTTTCTCCCTTTATCTTGTGGAAACAGAAGTGGTTTTACTATCAATAGTATGAATATAATTTCACATGAGAAAAATGATAAAATGCTTGCATATAAATCCTGTGTTTTGCCAATTTATTTAATGTATATTAATTTACCTCATTCAGTTTTTGCACAATCCTCATTGAATGAGGTAAATTTTATCATCATTGTTTTATACATGAGGAAGTTTATATTCTGATTCTATTGAGGTCATGTTACTGGAAGCCTGTAGATTTACTGGAAAGCTGTAGATTCAAGATTATGGGCAGAGTTCTGAATCTTATTCTCATGTTTTTCCACCTTAACAACCAGATAGAGGAATGACTTTATCATCAGATCTCACCTAATTATTTGATGATTGCACTTGGAATTATGCTGCTTTGAAGTGTATGAGATCATATATGTCAGACTCATCAAAGGATAAATGAATTAAATAATAATGATTAATTTGAAGCAAGGCAGAAACAAAGATGTAAATTTCCTATATTCTATTTCATCACTCTAGAAAATATTTCCATAAATGATGCACTACAAAATATAAGCATCATTTTCTGAAAGAGTAAACTCAATGTTTCAATACTTTCAAAAGCTCACAGTTCTGTAAGTTCCTAAACATATTATCTTTTACATTTCAAATGAATTTCAGCACAAGATGTTTTAAAGGGATGGAAGAATAAATTTCACCTATAGGATTCCACTTAGCATTTGGATGAGTGCTTCTATTGTAGCATAAAGTAAGAAAATCAATGTGCAGCCCAGAAACTAACAAAACATTAGTTTTATTATTGCAAATGGAATATTGAAGACCTTTGATTACCTGTAACGGTTAATTCTGTAGTTCTTCTCACGACAAAGCTTCCATATTTTAATTCACAGGTATAATTTCCAATGTCATCTTCTCGGACTTCTCTTATAAGCAAGGTATCTCTTTTGAATACAATACTGTGCCTCCAAGTTTTTGTCCTACATTCCTACATGAAGAACAGAAAATTTGAGTAGCATATGGAATAATTGAAAAATAAAGTTTTTTTAATTATGAAAAACTAATTTCTAGTGTTATAATTGAAAGGTACTAAATAATTTGGAAATTAATGCTAAATAATTTCATTCCATTTTCAAATCTGTAAAATTAAGTATCTCAGTTAGAAATGGGTATTTTTAGAGAAAGTCGTGCTCTTAAATTCTACAATTACTATCTCTTTATCAGTTATGTATTAATTTATTAGAAATAAGATATATTTTGGTCACTTCTAATATCATTCTTAAAAGCAAATAATTTATAGTTGATTATAGTGAAGTTAACCATACTAATTTTAATAACATAAAATACAAAACGTTCAATGGAATGTAGAAAATTAGTTCTGTAAAATTCTTCTCTTTCAATATTTGAAATATCTTAATGTTACATTGAGTAAAAATTAAATCTCTTCATAGAATGTACATACTATAATCTATGAAAGAAGTAGTCAACATTTGTATGCAAGGCCTTTATACCCCCATAAATGCCTATTTTCATTGTTGATAGACCTACCAAATTATGGCCTCTGAATTAAGCTTTGGATTATAATGACATTGGCTCAGGAGGTTCATGTTTTTGCCAAAAACAGAAGTCCATATTCTCCAGCCAGATTTGAAATCAATGGAATGAAGTAAAATAGCTTTAAACCTTTTGACACTATTGAGAGATAATATTATTTCTAAATTTTTTTATTGCCAAATCCAAATTCTGCAGAGGATGATTTTATATAGTTCAATGCCTTTGTGTAATTGAGGGGGGCAATTATCCAGTTATTCCAGACAAAATACACATTTTATTTTCTCATTTCAGTTGCCTAAAGTATCATAATTATATAAATTGTACACTGGATATATAGAATCTATAGTTAGCCAAACAATTTTCTAATATTCTTCTTTAAAATTAGCCCTTAAATCTCTGCTGTTTTGACTGTAGAGATTCAGTCTTTGCTACGGAAAAATAGTCTGAAATTCCATAAGACTTTTAAGTTCCAAATATACCATATGTCCACACACCATTCCATCAGTGATGGTCTTTCTAGCTGAAGGTCAAAAGGATTGTGATGATGGTGAAAATAGAACTGAAGAATTGATGAGAAGACAGCCATTTTTTAAAAAAATTGAATGTGTGTGGGGGAGGGGTCTCTCAATTTTCAGCAAATTTTGAGAAACTCTTTGCAAAAGTTTAGAAAAGATATACATCTTTTAAAATCAACTTATTAGTGAACAAGAATGAAAATGTATATCTACAAGCTAAATGTTGACATTTAAGTAATGAGAACTATTTGGTTTTGGAGACCCTGGGTCCAGTTCTTCTAATAGCACTCTCCTTTGGAACAATCACCGATGCTTCTTCAGAACCTCCCTGTTCAAGACAAACTACAGAAGCCAGTGGTGCTACTGTTTGAGTGCTGTTTTAGTGTCATCTGGGATAGAAAACCCAGAGACAAACTGAAAAATACTCAAGTTTTGCACTTTCTATTGCTTAATACTGACTCAAAATTAAATCTTACTTAGAGAAAGGCACTGATAATTTTGAAAAAATCTTGAACAATTGTTCAAGTCTTTTTCTTGTTTTATTTCTAACACTTTTTGCATTCATGAGCAATCAGTTCTAAGTGCTCACGTGATATTGATGTCTTTAGATCTAGTTAATAAGAAACCCAGTTTCCTAAAGTCCTACATCCAGCAAGTTAGAAAAAGCAACTTTAACAATAGGAATCTTTAGTCCGTGGATAAATCACTCCAGAGAAATGTTCACAGCATTTATATCCTATTTTTACAGTACATTCAAAAACAAAAACATTCTTTTATGGTGTAAATATGCTTAACAGTACAATCAGTTGTGGAGCTTCAGTGAACATCAATGATGCAATGGAGAAATGGGGTGGAATTGTTCTCGTTAAAGATTCCTTTGTGTTTTTTGAAGACAATAATTCAAATGCTATCTTTATAAGATCTTATCAGAAGTTATTTCTTTAAAATAAGTATACTTATATATGAAGAGGATTACAATATGGACAATTATGTCCACAAAATAAAACAGTTTGTTAAAATCAGTGTATCATTTTATCACAGAAGAAAGCCAATCCTTTTTCTTCTTATTTGGGCACATTTTGGAATGCTAATATGAAAAATACTAAAATGAATGTTCAATGTATTTTAATTTCTGAAATTATCAACCTACACTATCACAGACTTTAAAGAATGGTCCATATAAGCAAAACATTTACTGATATTTTGTTTATATTTAAATATATATATATATATTGAGTAGCAAAACTAGGTTACATATTCATATTTTTTGTCTAATTGCTCCAGAATTTGATACACATTAAGCTATTGAAAAGCAATAAAATCATTTCCAGTCCATACCTTATACCAAAGGATTTCTGGTTCTCTGGTTGGTAGTAAAAAGTCCTCTATGTCACGGCATGCAATTTCCTTGCTTTTGCTAAGTTCAGCTTTTTCAAAGTATTTCATCTTGGAATTGTAGCAGAATCCAGTGTCATTTTCACCCACTGTCAGTGAGATGGATACCTTCATACAGTAAGTGGAGTTTCTGAAAAAAAGCAGAATAAATATGGTGACCTATTGTGAACAAAAAGAAAGTTCTGCCAATGCAGTGTTTAATTCACTGAGAAAAAAGGAACCAAAATCTACTTATTTAACTCATATTATACTAACTTGGCTCATTCCATAAAGTTCTCTCCTGTCATCCAACTAAACTGCTTGGTGCTATAATGCCATTTGCATATTTTTTATTTGCCAGAGGGAAACTAAGTTTTGTTTTATATCCAGGTTCATTGGGAAAGGTGTTCAATAGAGATTTTTTTAATCTATAAAAATGAAATAAATAAAGGTAGATTTAGAAAGAAAGTCAAGTCTAGGTTTTTTCAAGATTGGCAAACTCAGCCGAGAAATACAAAACTGTAACTGAACTATTATGTAGAAGAAAAGGAAAGAAATAATGATGTTCCACACTTACATTTCTGATTGTATTGGTAAGAGAAGTTATTGACTTTAGGCAGAAGGTAATCTTGCATAAAAGTATGGCAGAACCACTATCTTTATACACTCATATCCATTTTGTTTGAAACCTGGAGTCCAGGTTATCAGAAAGAAGCATTCTACCATGTTACATAAAGACAACATCTACCTGACAGAGAGATTCTACAGAATTGGGTCATTAGATGAGCATCTTAAATCATGTTCAGAGATTTTTTTGGAAGAGTTGGAAGCAAATGAAATTTTATGTAAATTGAACTACTTCTGCTTGCTGCTCAATGAACACTGCTACTATGTCATGCATAGTGCTCGGTAGTGAAAATAAACATTGAACATTGGATTCAAAGCTTGGTAGAGTTTCCCATTTGACAAAATGTTTAACTGCTCATTCACATAGTTGGTATTTGACTTTCATTATTACTATCTCTGTAACACTGGGCAATTTATTTAACCTCTCTGAGTCTCAGGTAGGGTGGAGTGACAGAGCTTGTCTGACTATTAAGTAAGAATAAAAGACTGAGTGTCCTGTCTTAAGAGTTCAATGACGCTGGCTGGTTTCTTTTTCCTCTGCATCTATGCACACGGATCCTTAGTTAATCAAGATTCTTTGACTTTCAAGCAGCTCCTTAATTTAGATTCTTGCTTTTGTTTCATGCTAAGATGACACAATGAGAAAGGCCAGAAAATAGCTAGTTATGTGGAGTTAAATTGACTACAAAACAATATTTACCAAAAAATTAGAAGATACTTTATTGAATGTAGGCTCCTCCATATCCCTGTAAAACCTACCCTAGAAATAGATCTAAAATACTTAATAAATAAAACTGTTAAGCATTAAAGTATGTCAGTCAGAAGTCCAAAAAACCCCAGGGATTTTTCTAGAGTCATAAAACATTTCCTTGTCCTCAGACTCCCAAGATCCAGAAAAAGAGATATTCAAGCAACCAATTGAAATTCAGTGTGAAATGTGCTACAAAAACATATGAACTACCAAAGTGATGTCAAAAAAAGATAGAAGAGGGCCTGGGATTTAGCTCAGTGATTTTGCCGCCTGCTGCGCAAGCGCAAGGACCCGAGTTCGATCCCCGGTACCAAAAAAAAAAAAAAAAAAAAAAGATACAAGAAGGCTTCATAAATGGTGACACTTGGATTGTCTTAGAGAATGAGTAGGAACTTGGCAATTTTAAAATGGGCTATTTCAGGGAACAGACTGCATAAAGGCTGAAAAGCATGAAAGAACTTGATATTTTTAAGAAATTGCAAATGATGTACTGTGGCAGGGGTATAAGGTAGATATAAAAGACCTGAGACTGGAGAGGTGAAGAGGAGCCAGACTAAAAATCATGTAAGCTACTTCAAAAGGTTTGCGTTTGAGAATAAAGAAAGCTAGATTGTGAAATTTTTCCTGATTATAATGAGAAAAATTGATTGCATTGCAAGAAAAACTAAATGCAGTAAGACAAGCTGGAAAGAAACTCTACTCATTTAGGGGAAAAAAAATGGCAGCACCAAACATGCAATTTGCACTGAGGTAAAAAGTAAGTATTATGTTAAAAATATATTTAATATATTAAATCAGTTTGACTATAAGGAAGCAAAGGAAACACAGAAGTAGGCATGATGAATTTTTTTCACAATTGAGAATAGCAAATGTATAGTTAATTTTTCAGCATGGAAAATAATGAGAAAGAAGAGCTTTAAAATAAAAAAGGTGGGTTAAAGTTTAGCTTGAACTTCACACTCAAGTAAAAAAGATACTTTTAGGTGATCTGTGAACAACATCTCCCATGCATTATTTATTAATTTTACTGCAATACAAAAAATAACCTGTTCATTCTTGGCTTATTGTAGGATAAGTTTTTCAGAAAAAATAATTATCTCAGTGTGCTATTATATAGCTTAGGATTTATTTAAATGTATCTTGAGAAAATATTTAGATTTTTAAAATAATACATATTTGTAGAACACATTAGAATTTTTAAAGTACAGAGTCCTTTCTACGAAGTAAAACATTCAAATTCTGAGCCTTCCTCATCAATCTTTCAGATTTAATATTCTTAGATTTTTATCTCTCCTCAAATGACTTTCTACTTTTGTGTGTGTATTGTACAATGCCTCCTTGTATCAGACACTGGTCATGCTTTTACATGGGCAATGTCGAGTTAAGAGCAGGAAATCCAAGTGTCATTTGCAGATTTTAGCTCAACCTCCTCTTATTTTGGAAAACTAGCCAACACTACTTGAGTTCTTAGGCTTCCATTTCCTCATGTGTATGAGGAGTAAATAATACTAAAGATCCCATAGGGTCTTCATTTCCACAACCCCATAGGCTGTCGTGGGAATGAAACATGTTAAAACATGTGAAGAGATTAGAGCAGTGCCTATCTTACACTTTGTAAATGTTAGATCTTATTATTAGCACTGTGTTCTTTCCTTCTCATTTCCTTTATATTTCAATTTTGTAGTACAGCCTCATGGTGTTTGTTCAGCAAGTAGATTAACAAATATCACCATGTGATGTCTTTAGTCCTTTGGTGTGTAATTAGTGCGAAGCTTAACAAACTAGAGACGTCCTTATATTTTTCATTTGGGATGCTTGAGTGGGCTGGATAAGAATGCCTAAAGTTAAAGGGAAATATAGATTTCCCACCTCAGCCATTGCCTCTTTCCTTTTTTGTAAATGCAACTGACCCTCAATCTTCGGAAAATGGCTCCAGATGAGCGCTCCTAGTTATTCTTATGTTTCTGACTTTCATTCCCTGGCTCTGTGAGGTGACTGCTGATTTATAACTGTCTGGTAATGTCTGGAATTCTAGACTCCCCAGGATAGCACTATTTCCAAATTACTTTCAATGTTTTAATACTTGTTTACTGTTTCTGTTCATCAGGAGGTGATTTTAAAAGCTAAAAATATAGTAACATCCAACCAAGGTTATAGTCCTATTTACTGAGAAAAGCTAACAGAAAGCAAGCAACTTGCGACACATTAATACACATATGATCCCCCTGAGGAGAATTTACACACTCTCACAGCAAAGATGGATTCCACCATCATCAAACTTGCGGCATGACTGCTATGGCTCTCTGCCGTCAGGGAAATAATGTGGAATGGGGTAAATGGGGTAAGGAAAATGTTCCTACAGGACTTATGGTACAATCATTAGCACATATTTACTTGGCTTTTATTGTTTATAGCAGATGGGCTGCATTCTAGGCAACAACTTAAATCATGACTGCCGGTTTCAATATTATAAGATGGCTAGAAAGACAGGTCATATGTGTATGCAGGGAAAACAGTGTTTATAACTAAGAATCAATATCAATCATCCTCTCCTGTGAAGAAAATATTCATGTAGATTTTTTAAATGATCTAGTTTTATTCTGAGTTGGGTGACCTGAAGCACACACCATGTAAATACAAGGTCTTTACAAACATCTCAAATAGAGTTTACTTCTTTCAATGCCCTGACATTACAGCAAAGGGACTCAAAAGACTAAAGAAGTCAGTGACTTGCCCAAGTTCTACTATCTAATTATTGGTAGAAAGCGCATTAGATCTTATATCTTTTCACTTGTATTCATTGGATTCTTCTATATGCTACTAGAAAGAATTAGCACTGCTTATAAACCCTTTCTCTCTCTTCTCTCTATCTCTCTGTCTCTGTCTCTCTCTCTCTCTCTATCTATCTATCTATATATATATATGTGTGTGTGTGTTTGTGTAAGACTGTATATGTTATAAAAATTTAATATGTATATATTTAACATTGTTTAAAATAATTACCTACTTTTAGCCCCTGTTTTTCTATTATTTTATATTTCAAAATGGATGTTTTCTGAAGAAAAGAAGAATATGGTCTAGCTTGGATTTCTTTGAAAATCTAGGTCTTTAAAGACCCTAAAATTTAATAACAGTTAAAAGAGAGAAGCAGCAGGTCTTAATGAAATATTGTGGTTTCTTCATCTCTTTCTGTTTATCTATAAAAGTACATATTTGTAAAAGGATTAGTTTCTGAAAACATTAGCTTTGAGGTCTGCCTTATACAGGAAAGTAAAATTCTAACCTTAAATCCAGCACAAATACATCAGGAACTAACAATTATTTTTGAACATAACTAAGAAACTAACATGTGAACACTAAATACAATTGAAAATAATTACTCAAAGTCAACAGAGTACACTGAATTTTTCCACAACCTTCTCTACAGTGTGCTACTCTGTAAAAGGGGACAATTCTGAATTGGGAGCTATCAGAGACTTTAGAATTCACTTTTCAGAGGAGTACTACATTGCACAAATGGGGTTTTTTTGGTTTGGTGTTTTTTTTTTTTTTTTTTGGTACTGGGGATCAAACTCGGGACCTCGTGCTTGCGAGGCAGGCGGCAGAACCACTGAGCTAAATCCCCAGCCCTGCACAAGTAGAGATAATTTTGTAGAAATTTTGGTAGTCCAGGCAGGTCAGAAAGAAAAGTACGTGTGGGAAAGGAAATGTTGAATACAGTATTCGATTAACCAATAAAATATATTAAAAACCACATACGATAATACCACAGT